GCGTGCGCTCGATTAAAGCTCGACTTGAGCTCGGGTTTGACCGAACTCGAGTCGAGCTCGAGCGACTTGAGCACGAACTCGATTCGAGCTCGAGCCCATATTTTGCCTTGTCGAGCGGCTCGAGATACATATAAATTACAAAAATATCCCTTTATATATATTAGCATAGGTCCTTAATGGTAATTTTACCTTTCCACTTAAAACTTTTCGAGTCGAGCTCGAGTTATTGTGATATTTTATCGAGTCGAGCTCGAGCCTCAAAAATCGAGCTCGACGAGCTCAAGCTCGAGCGACTCGACTCAGCTTGTTTGCAGCCCTAGGCAGCGCCGAAGAAACACCAGACGATGACGGACAGACATGGCCAGGCCAGTGTATTATGAGTTTTGATTTCCCAGCGGTGGGGTGGTTGGCGGAGGGAGGCAGGCGGAGGGCATGTGTGTATTTTATGTTTGTGTGTGTGTGTAGTGAAGGTGACGGCAGGGAGATGTTTTTTTTTTTAATAACTCCACCTATGTTGTCTCAACATAGCAGGTCCCAAGCCCTGATAAAGGAGGAGGGTTGTGATAGGCTTGGCGAGCCAACGTAAAACCTAGCCATTGTATGGAGATGAAACACATGAGAAATTCGTTGGGGCGTAACCCTCTTAGCGACGCGCCATATCAGAACCTGGGTATAGTGTCAAATGGGCAAGGGCCAGGTCGTCTCTCCCTTTGGGGACACGCCATGTCGTGGTTTGGGCATGGTGTTAAGTGAGCAAGGACCAGGTCGTCATTTCCTTAGTGGCGCGCTACATCGGCGCCCGGGTGTAGTGGAAAATTTGGAGCAAGGGTCTTCGCATCTCTCTCGACGGGTGTGAAGGGCAAGGAAGCTAGTAGAACCAACTAGGGTCCGTATAGGTAGCTGGAACGTAGGGTCCCTAACGGGTAAACTACGTGAGCTAGTCGATGCAGCTACTAGGAGGAGTGTAAATATCCTATGCGTCCAGGAGACAAAATGGAAGGGACAGAAGGAGAAGGAGGTGGAGGATATTGGCTTCAAGATTTGGTTCACTGGGGCTTCATCGAGTAGGAATGGTGTAGGCATCTTGATCGATAGGAGCCTTAAGGATGGAGTTGTCGATGTTAGAAGGCAAGGCGACCGGATTATCCTAGTCCGATTGGTAGTTGGAGATTTGACCATGAATGTGATCAGTGCCTATGCCCCTCAGGTAGGTCTTAGTGAGAGCGCAAAGAGATAATTCTGGGAGGACCTGGATGCCTTGGTTAGTACGGTGCCTGCCAGCGAGAAGCTCTTTGTAGGAGGGGACCTAAACGGCCATGTGGGTGCAACTAAGGTAGGTTTCGAGAGAGTGCACGGAGGGTTTGGGTATGGTAGTAGGGACGAAGAGAGGGAGGGTGTGTTGGACTTTGCGATGGCCTACGACTTGTTGATAGCGAACACCCTCTTTAGGAAGAGGGAATCTCACCAAGTGACCTTCCATAGTGGAAGACACTCAAGTCAGATCGACTTTATCCTTGCAAGGAGGGAGGATAGAAGCGCTTTCGTAGATTGTAAGGCGATGCCTGGGGAGTGTGTTGTCCCCCAGCATAAGCTGGTGGTGGCGGATTTTCGATTTCGAACACGTGTCCACCAGAACAAATGTGCCAAGACCGTGAGAACGAAGTGGTGGAAGCTTAAAGGGGAAGCGGCGCAGACGTTTAGGGATAGGATGCTAGGTGAGGGGCCTTGGGAAGAAGGAGAAGATGCAGAGGACATGTGGCTAAAGATGGCAACATGTGTACGGAAGGTGGCTGCAGAAGTCCTTGGTGTGAGTAGGGGAGGCAAGCAGGAAGCGAAGGACTCTTGGTGGTGGAATGACTAGGTGCAAAGGGCTATTAAGAAGAAGAAGGAGCGTTTCAAGCGCCTCCACCTTGACAAGAGTGCAACCAACATTGAGAGCTATAAAATAGCGAGAAGGGATGCAAAGCGTGCCGTGAGTGTAGCGAAGGGTCAGGCCTATGATGACCTTTATCAGCGCCTAGGCACGAAGGAGGGGAAGAAGGACATTTATAGGATGGCTAAGATTCGGGAGAGGAAGACAAGGGACATCAACCAAATCAAATGTATTAAGGATGGGTCGGATCGGCCACTGGTGAAGGATGGGGAGATCAAGGACAGATGGCGAGAGTATTTCGACAAATTGTTTAATGGGGAAAGTGAGGGTCCTACCCTGGAGTTGGATGACTCATTTGAGGATACCAATAGACGCGTGGTGAGAAGAATTCGAGAGGCAGAGATCGGAGAGGCTATGAAGAAGATGATGGGAGGTAAAGCAATGGGCCCTGATGGTATCCCCATTGAGGTGTGGAGATGCTTGGGCGCCAGAGCGTTAGCATGGCTAACTAAACTTTTTAACCTCATTTTTCGGTCAAACAAGATGCCTGATGAATGGAGGAGAAGTACTTTAGTACCGATCTTCAAGAACAAGGGAGATGTTCAAAGCTGTGGTAACTACCGTGGGATTAAGTTGATGAGCCATACGATGAAGCTCTGGGAGAGGGTTATCGAGCATCGCCTACGACGAGTGCGAGTGTGACCCAAAACCAATTTGGGTTTATGCCTAGAAGGTCGACCATGGAGGCGATTTTCCTAATACGTCAGTTGACGGAGAGATATATGGACCAAAAGAAGGACTTGCACATGGTCTTTATCGACCTTGAGAAGGCTTATGACAGAGTACCGAGAAATGTCATGTGGTGGGCCTTATAAAAGCACAAAGTCCCATCTAAGTACATTACCCTCATCAAGGATATGTACAAAGATGCGATGACGTGTGTCCGAACATGTGGGGGCGACACCAGCGACTTCCCAATTAAAATAGGACTACACCAGGGGTCAGCATTGAGCCCTTATCTATTTGTCTTGGTGATGGATGAGGTCAGAAGGGACATACAAGGTGATATCCCTTGGTGTATGCTCTTTGCTGATGATGTGGTGCTAGTTGACGAGAGTAGAGCAGGGGTAAATATGAAGTTTGAGCTGTTGAAGGACGCGTTAGAGTCGAAAGGCTTCAGACTTAGTAGGACGAAGACCGAGTACATGACGTGCGCTTTCAGCATGACTTCACATGATGATGGTGACATTACCCTTGACGGGCAAGTGGTGGCCAAGAAGGAGACTTTTCGGTATTTGGGATCGATGCTACAAAAGGATGGCGGCATTGATGCTGATGTTAGGCATAGAATTGCAGCCGGTTGGTTGAAATGGCGTCAGGCGTCGGACGTTCTCTGTGATAAGAGGGTGCCACAAAGGCTAAAAGGTAAGTTCTATATGACGGCGATTCGCCCGGCGATGCTATACGGTGCTGAATGTTGGCCTACAAAAAGGCAACATGTCCAACAACTAAGTGTAGCAGAGATGCGTATGTTGCGTTAGTTCTGCGGGCACACAAGAAGGGATAGAATCCGGAATGAGGATATTCGAGATAGGTTCGGGGTGGCTCCAATTGAGGAGAAATTGGTTCAACATCGGCTGAGGTGGTTCGGACATGTCCAACGGAGGCCTCCTGATGCACCGGTGCGTAGGGGAGTTCTACAGCGGGTCGAGGATGTTAAGAGAGGTAGAGGTCGGCCTAAACTCACTTGGGAAGAGTCGGTTAAGAGGGACCTTAAAGATTGGAATATCTCAAAGGATTTAGCGGTGGATAGGAGCGCTTGGAGGCTCGCTATCAAC